CAAGTTTACGATATCAGCCTTTAGATTTTACTACTTATTATCTTTTACTCTCTTTTTTTCTCTTGCAGATCACTCTTCTGTTAGCTGGAAATTGTTATCCAGCCACGATCTGATCCGTTTCTCTTTAGATCCTGTACACTGGGTCGACAACCGTTTCTATCTCCTCCTCTCCTCCGCTCCTTCCTCACCCTTCACCAAGTCAGCATGCCTGGGGTTCTGATGAACCAGACGACCCAGGGAGGCAGTGCCTCATCGACCACCAGTCAGACTTACATGGCTTGGATCGACCAGCAACAGTGTCTGATCGAGACATACCGCGAGATCCGCGCCAGCCTCAGTCAAATGGAGGCCGAGATCGAGGCGGCTCGGTCGCGTGTCACTGACTGGTCGACTGCTCATGCCAACAGCGCAGCTGCTTCTGTCCTTTCGGCTGGAGGTTCTACCAGTTCCGGTGCTGGCAGACAGAGCGGTCTGGCCGGCATCTCCAGTGCAACATCTTCTGCCTCCGCGTCTTCCTTCACTTCAAGGGGAGCAGGTTGGCGTCCGGTGAGTGCGGCTTCCCGGCGCACGGCAACCGCCATCTGCAACGGAAATGGACTCAGCGCCAGTCGACTCCGTCCGAGCAGAAATCAAATAATCGCACCCGGGATCAGCTTGACCAGCAGGAGAGCTCTGAGGGCCTTCGACTCCTCTGTCTTAGCTGCCTCCGCCAGAAATCGGGATGATTTCGGCGGTGGTACTGGCACCGGTGGGACTAGGAGTGGTCTTGGAGACCATATTCCGACCACGCGATGGTCGACTCGTCTGTCTTTCGTTCCTTCCGTCCGGACGTCTTTGACTTCTCTTTCATCCTCTTCAAATTCTCCTTCGTCATCAGCCTCCTCATCTCTTTCAGCCTCATCTCAGTCAACCGCTTTGACCTCTTCAACAGCCAATTCCACGTCTACGGTCTCCTCGGCTTCGAGGGCTTCATCACCAACCGCTTCTTCCTCTTCTACTGTCTCCTCAGCATATAATCAAGGACGGTTGACCGGGGTGAGTAAGACCAACTAATAAAGCACCATAACTCCCACAAATGCAGTCTTTCGCATTCATAATAGAATGAATTTTGAAAAAATCCAGTGCTTTGTTATAGTATCTTTTGTAAAAACCTTAATTAGTCTCAGCCTACTTCTTTTCCAACTTCCCTTCTAGCCCTGTCTTTGCTACTATTGAGCATAAATCAACCGAAAATGACTCTTTTCAAACCTATTTCTGCGCGGGATTGTGTTAAATAGTGAAAAATTTAAGTGCGAGTCCACTTCAGATGTTTAAACTTATTCTTGGTCAAAATCGGAGAAATCGGACTTTCTTTTGCGGGCTTATGCCTTAATTTTACTGTTTGCTTCATACCACCTAGTTTCTTTTCAAACCACATTTATACAACCTTAAGCACATTAATTTTTATGAGCCAGACTTTTCTAGAAGCCGACAAATGGCCTAATACAGTTAAAATCTACGGTGCATAACTTGGTGAAAGTGCCTGATGCTGAGACTCGTAGGCTGATCTCACTGCAGCCATTTGGCTTATAAAGTTCAGGTTGACGCTGTCCATGAGGCATCTTCTTTAGGTTCGGGTGGAAACAGGCTGGGATTTCATCCGTCATTTGACGGACATCGTCTGAGCTGAAAGTAATTTTTGCAAAAGCTT